TTATTATTCTCATCAGCTCAAACAATGGGAAGGATCCTTTTTGTGTCTAATGTCACATTTAAAAAACAAATGTTTAAAAACCAAATGTTACCCAGTGCCCCTCTTCGAGGGCACAATGGGTGGTCCAGAAACATGAAATATAAATAAGAGAGAGAGAGAGAGAGAGAGAGAGGGAGGGAGGGAGGGAGGGAGGGAGGGAGGGAGAGAGAAAGTAAAGGAACACTTCAGTGGCAACTATAGAGGGGGTAAGGGAAGAATTTCTGGTTGATTCTTTGTTCCCCATTTTCTGGGGTAGATGCAGGTAAAACTCATTAATGTAGTTATTGAGTCTCTTCCCCCCCCCCCCTTATTTTTCCTTGAAAATGGATGCCTGTCTTGAGAGGGTTGACTGGGGAATTCTGGGAGTTGAAGTCCATGCATCTTCAAGTGGCGAAGATTGAGTAATACTGATCTAAGAACTGCAAGCCATGCAGGCTCTCCAATCCTCAATTAAGGTGTGAAGTATAAATTAGAGAGACTACCTAAAGTTCTATAATCTTAGGAACAGTTAAAACACACATTTTTGAAGGTGATGGAGAAGGACTGACGTATATTCAAATGTAAAAAAAGAAAAGAAAACAGCATCTTCACAAATATCTTCTCATTGTTCCTATCATGCATCTCCTCCCACTTATGACTGTATGACTGTAACTTTGCTGCTTGAATCCTTATATTGATACTGATTGTTTCCTGGTTGTTTATTTGTACCCTATGACTATCATTAAGTGCTGTACCTTATGATTCTTGATGAATATATCTTTTTTATGTACACTGAGAGCATATGTACCAAAGACAAATTCCTTGTGTGTCCAATCATACTTGGCCAATGAAGAATTCTATTCTATCCTATTCTATTCTATTCTATTCTATCCTATCCTATCCTATCCTATCCTATCCTATCCTATCCTATCCTATCCTATTCTATTCTATATGATCACTACTACCGGTACAAAGTGATGATGCTTTTCTGCCTCTTCTTAAAATAACTTTTCTTTATAATAATTCAATTTTATGACAGACCCCAACCAATACATTCAACAATATAAAATTGAAATACAACTAGATCACGTAATACAGAATAACACTGTAACTTTTGTTTCTATGTAATTACATTTCATTCTTCCCTAAATTGAAGCATTGGATCTAATGAGCATCCAAATAAAACTTTGCAATTTTCTGTGAGATTCTAGAACCTTGGTTGGCAAACAACAGCTAGCAGAAAAATAATTTCATTGACCATTTTGTATTTTGTAAGCTATAGACTATAACGAAGTGCTACAAAAAGAAGCAAGATGAGCCAGTATTTTTGTCACTCTCTCCCCACAAGGACACTGAGACTTGCAAGATTGTTGTCAGCATTTCAAGACAGTCTACATCAAGAAATCCAAGTTTATGAACACTAAAACTAATTTTATTATAAGATTATAATAATAGAATCTTGCAAGTCAGAATGTGCCTCCTCCACTCCTGCTTTTATGTTCTACAAAACAAGGGAGGGTTAATTCTGTGACTTTTCTCCAGTTACATTCCTGTTTGGTATTTAGATTTATCAGATGTTGTGTATATTGCGGCTTTTCCTCTTGTCTCTCAAGGTTATTCTCACATCCCATTGCAGCTGCTGCCATGGGTACCCATCAGTGGTGGAATTCAATTTTTTTTTACTACCGATTCTGTGGGCGTGGCTTGGTGGGCGTGGCATGGCTTGGTGGACATGGCAGGGGAAGGATACTGTAAAATCTCCATTCCCATCCTCTTCCGGGGGTAATTTACTGAAAAATCCCCATTCCCTCCCGATCAACTGGGACTCGGCAGGCAGAGAATAGATGGGGGTGCGTCCAGTCAGAAATGGCATTTAGCGGTTCTCCAAACTTCTCAAAATTTCCACAACCGGTTCTCCAGAATTGGTCAGAACCTGCTGAATACCACCTCTGGTATCTTCCTGCTTCAGAGGACTTTTTTGATTCTGGGTCCAAAGTACAGCACATTCATATATTTCATATGCAGTCAATATCCTGCTTCTTGCTTCATTTTATGCTCTCCTAGTCACCATCATTCATTCATTGCCCATCTTTATTATTTCCATAAATACTCGTTCCTCTTCCTATTTTCCCCACAACAACAACCCTGTGAGGTGAGGTGGGCTGAGAAAGAGTGGCTGGCCCAACGTCACCCAGTTGGCTTTTGGCTAAGGTGAGATTAGAACTCACAGTCTCCTGGCTTCTGGACTAGTGCCTTCACCACTAGACCAAACTGGATCTCAATTTGTCTTCTTGACAATGTTTTCACCTTTCCTTTTTTTGCATCTGCATGTGGCTCTCTTTGCACGCCCTGTTTTTAGACCTCACCTGGCCAGCATGATAACAGGAACAATGGTCATAAAGAGGAGAGTATCCTGCGGAGACAGGCCTATCTGGGTCAGCCCGAGGTAGGAAAGGGCCCCAATCAAGCCAGCCCCACCTGTTCCAGATGACCAGGCAGACACCACAGCACTTGTGGGAAGAGAAGCAAAGGAAACAACATGAGTTCGAGAACTTTTTGTATACAACTTCCACATAATCACTTCAAATCTAACCACAGTTCTTGTAAGCAAGAAAAATAAGGGATTCTTTGGCATTAGATATCTTTTTTAAATGATGCATATATCAGAGATAGTATTCTATTTTCTTCACTACCGGTTCAGTAGCAGAAGTGTACAGAAGCATGCACAGAAGAGGGAGCATGCGCAGAAGGTCCTTGATGACATCAGGGTGGGTGGGCGGAGCCTCACGCCACCACCACTACCAGTGTGCCCGAATCAGTGCAAAATGGCAGCATACCACCACTGGCATATATGCACTCTAGAGATGCTCATGCTTTACTAAAGTAGTTTTTAAGTCAAAAGCTGTTCAACATTTCTCATGAGCATGCGTTATCCAGGTACTAGCCAATAAGAACTCTGTTTAATTCATGTTTCTAAGCTCAATTTAACTAGGTTGGATACATATAGCTTATTTTTTCCAGAGAGAAATACACATCTTATGACTACTTTCCAACCAGACTGTTTAATATAATACATCTATCTTCTTTAAATCTTATTAACAGAATTAAGGCAAAGAAAATGTCACCTATTAACATGCAGAAATGTATTTAATAGTCTCAGCAGTTCAGTTTAACATCAAAGCACATGTGAATCCGGTCACACTAATAAATAATTACTGAGTTCTGGTGACTGCAAAGTTTATCTATAACTGCTCCTCTCACTTCCTTCCCACCAAATGTTTCTGGGCCCAATTAAGCATAAAACTTTCTTCAAAGAAAAAAATAAAACTAAGATTGGGTAATGACCTCTGAACTCTGTTACACAGCCTGCCCAGCCAGATAGCAAAAATTATTTTGCTTGGTTCACTATATGTATCCTATCTGAATAATTACCTTTTTGGAAGGGGAAATAGTTTTGACTATTTACAGCCTATTTTGGTGTTTTATAAGTTATCCAAATGGTACATATTTTGATGGCTGTTAGATATCTCTTCCTGTCATTTCTGAGTACCAAACTTATAAAGTTAATGCACCATATATATAATCATATAAGCAAAGATCCACGAGATCAATTCCTAGTAAAGGGTTTGAACCACTCGGAATAAAATCTAATATTTGAGGAGTCTCAATACAGTAAGGGCAAGATTAGTCAGATGGTAGCACCTGATGGTCAGCATAACCAAAAATACCACACAGGATATATCGTGTTTGTGTATATGAAGAGAGTTGTGTCTATTTGCTAGGAGGGTGGGGTGAGGGGCTGCATTTTTGAGACCACCAGCACTTTTATTTTTCAGTTTTGCCAGTGAGAATATATGATTTGACTTTGGGATTCCAAATCCAGTTCCTGCCTTCACGCTCATTTTCTTTTAAGGAAGTTACTTAGTCTTACAACGAAGTTGACTCTCATGACCATCACTTTGTGAAGGTGGTGCCCCTGACAGTTTCTCAAATTTTCAGTTGGATCTACAGGCCCAGAAAAGCTGGGCACCTCAGCAACAAAGGCTAATTTGTTAAGCAAGCAGGAGCTACAACCTAACTCTTTTGTAAAGTGTCATTCACCATCCAAATCAGTGTTTCTCAACAGGACTTCAAGTCTCCAAGGTTGAGAAACACTGATCCAAATCCTACAATTGCCCTTCTCGATGTTTACCTGTTGAAAAATGATGTGAGTGCCAGGAATGTTATTTCACCAAGACCAGAGGATATACTGGCAAGCACGACACCTATAGCAGTGAGGAGAAAAAAAGGAGACACCACACGTAAGCAACCTGTCCTATTGTTATCAAATCTCTGAACTGTGCAGAAGTCAGAACAGGACTGGGCTTAGTTTCTTCTGTCACAAATCTATCAGTTGTATGCAGTATGTTCATCTCTGTGCAAGTTTTACAACTTCAGAACTTTGGCAGAAATATTTAAAATATATACATATTTTACTGATTATTTGTTTTGCTTTCCAGAAGGAATACTTCTACTTGGAATTCCGGTCAGGTTTCCCCTTCTCTATTATACTCTGTTCCATATCCACATTCCCTTTTTAAGGAATATTCAGCATTCTTTTCAGGGATAAGCAAGACGTGGTTCTGGAGCTGCATGTGGCTCTTTCATCCTTTTGCTGTGGCTCCCTGTAGCCGGTTGGCTCCACAATTGATAGGGCTTTCAGTAGGAGAGGTAGAAGAAAAAGAATGCCAGGCTAGGAGGAGACTTTATGGTGGGGGAACCGGACTTCTGATCGACTCCAGAATTGAACGGGGGGCTTCCAGTTAGGACCTTTGTGGCTCTTTGAGTGTTTAAGGTTGCTGAGCCCTGGTCTAGTTTAATATTTTGGCTTCTTTAATATATATATATATATCTTAAGATTTCTCCAATCATTTTAACTACTTCTATTTTATTTTTTTTACTTTGGATGTGTAGCAAGTAATGACATGATAAATCAGTTATGATAAACCACAATTCTGGCATATCAGGACAAGTAAATTAGGGTTATTGATGGATCAAAGCCAGGTCTGTTGCTTTTGGTTATAAATATAGTCAAAGGGACTTTGGTATTGAAAAAAATGGCTTGAGTTGAATGGCAAACGCACTTGTTTCCTCCAAAATTTGAATAATCATCTGTTTTAAGATTATACACACATGAAAACGATACTCACCCAGGAGGCTTTGTGTTATGCTGGTGGAAAAGGCAACTAGTAAAAAGCTGCCCCAAGCTGAGGTGACACAAATGGCAACACGCAAGCTGTGGAGGGAGGAGAGGGGAGGGGAGGAGAGAGGGAGAAAGAGAGGGGGGGAGGGGGAGGGAGGGAAGGAAGGAAGGAAAAAAGAAAGAACGAAAGAAAGAAGAGGATTAGAACAAACTACCAGGCAATAAACAAAGGGATTGCTTCTTATGCATTTCCTTTCTCGGCTAAAATTTCCTAAATCCACTTATTTCTTACCTTGATGTAAACATACAGCTTTCTCCAATAGGAAAAAAGCACCTATAAACACATTTTCTTCAAAAGACAAATGTAACCCCTGTACAAGCAAATCATACAATAGGTCGGCATCAGAGGTGGGTTCCTACCAGTTCGCACCTATTCGGTAGAACCAGTTCGTCAAATCTACCGAACAGGTTAGAAGAGGTTCCACCAGTGGACCCGGAACACCTACAGAAGAGGTTCCAAAAATTTTTGAAACCCACCACTGGTCCTTGGATATGATTATTCTACACTATCATGCTCATATTTATAAAACTCAGTGCCTCTGTGAAAGGTAAGGATGACTACTGCGTTTGTGGTGCAATCAGAACATTGCGTGTGTTGAAGTTGTTTTAAAGCAAACCAAAGATGCCTTTTAAAAAACAAGTTTACATCATATTCTTATGCATGCCAGTGTTGTGTGTGAGATAATTTAAGGTGGTTCTGACAAGTGTTGTCGGCATCTTCATATCCGGCCACATGGGCGGCAAGCCGCTCCCACAAAGGAGGCCACACCCACAGAGTAGGTTTGATCAATATTTGAAACCCACCACTGGTCGACATTCTCTAGAGCAGTGTTTCTCAACCTTGGCAAATTTAAGATGTGTGAACTCCAGCTCCCAGAATTCCCAAGCTAATTTCTGACTGGAGAATTCCGGAAGTTGAAATCCATACAATGCAAAATTGCCAAGGTTGAGGAACATTGCTATAGACATTGATTTCCAGGTATGTTGGAATACCTTTATTCGTACTACCAGTAGATATGGCCAGGTTGAAAAAGAGAGCCCAAGACACTGATCCTTTTTTTGAATGCAAAGCATGACAATATTGTACAGCTTTTCACGTACATCAAAAATATTCTTTTTAATGTAAAGAAAGTTTCCATTAGAAGTTCAGGCAGGGGTGAAATGCTATCGGTTTCACTAGAACTGGTAGTAAAAATGCTACCGGTTTGCCCGAACCGGTATTTCTAAGGATCAGATGTGACACATGATTTATATTAGCTAGAATCATCGGATTTCCTGCTTTTTAGATTTAGCTAATCTAAATCACCTGGCACAGTGGATTCCCACCCCCCTCGCTGTTCTACCTATCTTTGTAGGCACACTCAGTAGCAGGCTCATCCTATTTTGACACTCTGTGCATGCGCGGAAGGTCCTGTGCATGCGTGGAAGTAGTGCGCACTGACATTTGTGAACCAGTAGCAAAGGTAACTTGATTTCACCCCAGAGTTCAGGTATAATATTTAGTCATTAAAATGCTGGCTAGGAACCAGGAGAGTTCTTGAGTTCTAGTCCCGCCTTAGGTATAAAAATCAGCTGGGTGACTCTGGGCCAGTCATTCTCTCTTAGCCCAACTCACTCCAAAGGATGGTGGTTGTGTGGAAAAAAGGAGGAAGAAGCCTTGAGTAACTTATAAAAGTAATGGCAGGATAAAAAAGTTTAAGAAATAATAATAAATAAAAATACCTTCCCTTCTCTTACCTGCAATGATATGCTAATTATTTTGCACCAGTGCAAACTTACCCATATGGGAACAAGTGGATGCAAAAAGGAGCACTGAATTTGATGAAGAGAGTTGGCAAAATGTCTGCCAGCAGTACCGCCTATACAGGATGCAAAAAAAAACAAAAAAACGGTATCAAAACCTCAAAGTACCTCGCTCCTTCCCCTGCCTGATCTGGCTTTTACACTTACCCCAGTCGAAATGGTGTTGCAATCATACCCAGAAGTATTGGTGGTGGTATTCTCTGGAGAAGCACTGGGGGGAATCTGAGTGGAAAGCAAAAGACGACAGCGTGTGTTTACTCAGCAAAGTTCCATGAAATCAGCAAATCTCTGATGAAAACACTCTAAAATCTCATTACATCTGACAATCTCAAAAGGTCAACATGTTTTGTGGCCCGTCCAGCTGCCAGCAGGGCTAGCTGCGGAGTCAGATGAGGAGGAGATTGAGAAGAGTCTGGGCCAGCTTTGGAAGGCTCTGATAAGGAAACAGCATCGGAGGCAGAGTCGGGGCCTCCCCCAAGTGGGGGAGCAGCTATCTGGGCTTCAGGACCTGAGCTGAATGAAGGAGAGGAACCGATGGGACCCATCCCAGATGCGCGTATACACAGAGAGAGGAGAGGAGAGCAAAGGAAAACAATAAGCCGGCTCTCAAGGAAAAGCAGATGTGGACACTAGTCAGCCCCTCCATGGCTGGGAAATAAACAGTAGAGGTTTGGGAGTGGCCAGCAAGTGGGAGTGGCCAGCAAGCAATTCAGATTTCAAGCCAGAACCAGGTCTGTTGGGACTAATTACGTTTGGTTTTTTGTTTATCCATGTGAATAAAAGACTATTCCTACCCTGTTTGAAATAGGGGTTGTGTTTACTCATGAGTAAGCAGCTTATCATTATTTGCTGAGGCTGGGTCAGAACAACATATTTAAATATGTGTATGTAAATACAGGTAGTCCTCCACTTACAGCAGTTCATTTAGTGACAAGTTACAATGGCATTGAAAAAAGTGACAAAAGTATTTTTCACATTTACAATCTTTGCAGCGTCTCCATGATCATGTGATCAAAACTCTGATGCTTGGCAACTGGTTCATATCTATGACCATTGCAGTGTCCAAAGTTTATGTGATCACCTTTTATAACTTTCTGACAACTGGGTTACCAATTTACCATCTGTGGTTAAGTGATTAACTTAACAACTGTGGTAAGAAAAATCATAAAATGGGGCAAAACTCACTTAACAAATGTCTCACTTAACAAGAGAAATTTTGGGTTCACTTGTGGTCATAAGTCGAGGACTACCATGCATAAGTCGAGGACTACCATGAATACATATACAAGAGTATCTAGATACTGTAGTACCAAAAAAAACTGGAGGGGGGGATTCTATGGATAATATCACTGGAAGCCCTGAATTATATCTTCCTGAATATTGCATGAGAGAATTCTAAGATACAGAATATAAAAAATGCCAAGAGTCTCTTATCACCATCTTTGACATAGTGCCTCCACTCCGAGCTTGCTGTGTTTTAATACAGATAATCCTTGACTTACAACCGCAGTTAGGATCAGAATTTCTGTTGCTAAGCAAAGCAGTTATTAAGCTAGTCACATTCAGTCTTGCAACCTTTTTGCCACAACGGTTAAGTAGATCACTGCAGTTGTTAAGGGAATCCAGTTTCCCCCAGTTTGCTTGTGGGAAGCCAACTGGGAAGGCCAGAAACGACAATTACGTGACCCTGAAATGCTGCAACCCTCATAAATATATGCTGGTTGCCAAGTGCCTAAATTCTGATCATGTGAGTGTGGGAAGGTTGTAAGTGTGAGAACAGCTGTCACTTTTTTTCAGTGCCACTGTAATTTTGAATGGTCACTAAGCAAGTAGTTGTAAGTCAAGGACTTATTGATCCAGATAACCAAAGTCAAACAGCTCTGTCTGCTAAGACATTTCTGCCAAAATGTATTTTCTACCTCACAAGTAATCTAATAAAAGGGACTTCAGCCTTCTCAGTCTCTGGTTATTGGCTCAACTGGTTGAAACTAATAGGAGAAAAAATCCACAGATAAGCAGTCCTGCTTTATTTCACATTTGTGTACTTCCTTATTCTTTCATACATTTTTTTCCCTTGTACTTATTTTCTACGTATTTATTTCTTCCTGTAACTGACATTTTCTCTTGACCTGTTCCTCATTCTGCTTTTACACAAATATACACACAGACTTCTTCCTTGCACACTCACCGGTGCAGTCCCATTATGGTCTGGCACCTTCTGATGGCTGAGGATGTCATGAGCTGCACTCAGCATCACCACGTAAGCAAAATTGTTGCAAAGACCAAGTAGCCTGTGTGAGGAGACAATTTAGGAAACATGGAGGTTACCACATATGTATACATCAGTGTTTGGGTTCCTAAAATGTGTTAACCTATAGAATACATACTTAGTTGTGGCTTACTGGACTGTAAGAACCCAAATATTGTGGTTACTGCAGTGTTTTTCAATCTCAGCAACTTTAAGATGTGCGGGCTTCAGCTCCCAGAATTCCCGTCAGCATGGTTGACTGGGGAATTCTTGGAGCTGAAGTCCACACATCTTAAAGTTGCTGAGATTGAAAAACACTACTTTACTGTATAAACGTGGTTGCAATCGATCCAACCAATTGTGGCTTTTTAAGTACTAAGTGAACTATGTTTTACCATAGTGTGAACCATATCACTGCTATCATTTTGTTCATTTTTTATTCTATTATATTTTTATTGTAATTACAGGCCCCACTTTCTTTCACAACACAGCTCAGATGCATGTAAACAGGGTTCAAACACTGATTAGATCCAGATCAGTTTAGCTCTGTTTGTAGCATCACTCATTTCTTCAGACTATATAAAACACTATCGCCACACTCAAAATTCCCCAAAGCTTGAATGCATGCAACGTAATGCACGCCACTAGTTGTACAAAGTGCGCTGCAAATAAATTGGATGACAACGACCCAGTGGAAGAGGAGGTGTAAAAATATCAAGTTTGTAGAAAAGATACTTAGAAAATAAATGTGGGCACAAGGCAGAAGTGCTTAAGCTGATGTGCTATAACATGAAAAAGAAGCTAGTTTTCACACAGCAACAGAGGTGAAAGTGGTAGTAGTAACAACTGAAGACATGCTATTGTACATCCTGCATCTCCTTGAACCAAAGAATTAGCGTAAAGGAATTCACCAGAAGCCCGCATTGTTTCTCCGCTGGCTGCAAGCATCCAGGGTGGCTTCGGATTCCGAAGAGTGCACCATACTTTCATTTTCCTCTGTTTGTGGGGGGAGAAGAAGCACAGCTGTCAGAAGTGAGGAGACATTGGGGGGGGGGGAAGGGGGAAAATCTGAACATGAGAACAAACTCACCCTCAGAATCACCCGAGGCTTCCTGCCATCTGCCCCCAGCGTGCTCCATGGCATGAGGCAGAAATCAGGGCACAAGAGGGATCACCTAATATTAAAAAGGGGGAAGAAAGAGGAGGAGCATGAATGCACAACAAATTTCTGGGACTTTCAGGGATGCATCGAGATGATCCCTCTGGCTTGTGCCCCACCTCGTCCCGTTCATCCCTCTGGCTAAAGCTGCGCCGCTACCTTTAAGAAAACGTTTCAATTAGACTTCTCTGCAAATCTGAGAGGGCAGAAGATCGGAAAAACTGAAACCGAAGTTGTAGGCACGGCAACCCTCCTGCGGCTCCTACTTCCTGGTTTGATAGCACTTCCTCCTGCCACGCAACGTCCTCAGCTGGGCTTTGCTGTCAATGGCGAAGCCGAGAGCGCGCACAAGAGAACCAGGGAAAGCCGGCTGCGCGCTCCGGTAGGCGCAGGATGGCTGCATTGAAAAGACCACGCGAAACCCCCGTTAGTGTTGTTTAAAAGAGAGGGGGGATCTGCTATCCAGGAATTCCGGCAGATGTTGATGCTTTTAAACAAGTTTGCCCGAGCCTTACATGCCACATGCCTGCTTATTCACCCTAAAAGATGCGTGGCGGTGAAAGGATGTGAGTTTCCTCAATGTAGGTTTTCACTATAGTTGGGGTTTTTGGGGGGAGGGGGGCTTTCAAAGTGGCGAAGGGCGGGGGAAGGTGTAAAACCTGATTTGCAAACCTGATTTGCAATACAAACCTGATTTGCAATACAAACCATCATTATGGAATTGCTATAAAGCCTATACTGAAATAGTAGCTTCTCCCTGATGTAGTGAGTATCATGTGTTATATTATGGAAAGTCTGGGTTAAGTTTCACTCAGTCTGAAACTTACTGGGTGATTTGGGATTTTTAGATCAGAATGATCATGCAAGCCGCCAAGATATTCCCCTCTGACACTCTGGAAGTGAAAGTTGGTCTTTGAAGAAGTTAGGATAGGAAGAATATTGACACTTTTGGACTTGGTTGTTGGAGAAGACTCCTGAGAATAGAAAGCCAGAAAACAAATGATCATCAAATAAATCAACTCAGAATTATCACTCGTGGCACAGATGATCAGGCTCAAGTTATCTTGTTTTGGACACATCAAACGAAGATCTAGCTCTCTGGAAAAAGCTCTAATGATAGAAGAAAGGTAGAAGGAAAGAGAAACTGAGGACAACCAGCAAGGTAGATAGATTCAGAGATGGTGGTCTTTGGGAAGTTTTGAAAGATTGTCATGGATAAAATCTACCTATGTGGTTGCTAGGGATTGAAAATGATTGATGGCACATAATCCATCATATGCTTTTAGGAGAAATACACTAACATAGGATAAAAATGCAGTCCATAAGGTCCCACGTAGTTTGAAGTTACCTATTCAAGAAAAAAAGTCTTCTTGATGTTATTGTAAACAAGGTCTCATATCAGTTTAAGGTGAAACTGAGAGCCACTTCAGTTTTAATAAACAATGACTCAGCTATAATATCCATAAACAATGAGATAATTAATACAGTGATGGCTCATAAATAGGAGTAACATGTTTCGTAAACCAGGATAACCAGCCTTCCCAATACTGAAGTGGACACTGTGCTCTTAACTATTTCCAGTGGGCCAGTAGACATGATTTTAAGTATCCTGGAATTAATTAAGAGTATTCAAATTCCCATGGTGTTCAGGTAGGTATGCTTCTACCATGTTTTTTTAAATAAATTGTTGTCATATTTAATGTTTTTAACTGTATCTCATTTGCCCAGAGCCACATGGCAAGTAGGAAGCTATATAAATTGAAAAGCACAGTACTGCTTTATTCTTTTCACAATACAATTGGGATTACGGTGGTTTTTGAACTGAGATCAGCCTTATAGTTTATCAGCCATTCTTGGTACTTTTCCAGAGGTCAATTAAACAACACACTTATTTATGTTAGAAAAAATCCACTGCTTTGCCAATGAACTCAGAATAATGCATTCCACAAAGGTTCAGCCATTCTTCCGGTAACTTGCTCAATTCTGAAACCATTTCTTCTTGTGTACTTTTCCACCTAATAATACACCATTTTTGGGACCAGCTCTGGATCTGATCTTATGATGTCACTGTCTCAAGGAACTGAGTCAATCTATTTCTATCTCTTTTCTTTTACAAGAAACCACAACTATACTGAAATTTTATTATGAATTGCCGCAGTTCTGCAAATCCAGTATGTTGGCAGGAATCTGTACTTCTCTCTCCCCACCCACCCCTCTGAAATTCATTATGTTCCGGGAGTTTGTATCTTCTGTATGCAATGTTCAGAATTTTTCCACCACTATCACCCAATCTATATCAAGATCCTAATCCAGTGCCTATAGGTGGTTGGGGTCTGAATGGGAAGGAACAACTCAACCCTTGTGAGACTGAATGTCTATGCATATAGAATTCTTTATTGATTAGACTCTGGTGCATGAGCTCATAGTGATAGATCATTATCATAGTCATTGTAAAAATACATTCATCATAAAACATTAGATATAACAGTGATACTCATGGATACTAAATAAGCAATTGACATAAATCATACAAGGATACTAAGTAAACAATATGATTCTAAGATACAAGCAACAAAGTTATAGTCCTAAGAAGATAGGGAGATAGGGAATAGGGAATATGAGACTAATGGTGGTCTTTCTAGATCGGGGTAGTCAACCTTTTTATACCTACCGCCCCCTTTTGTATCTCTGTTAGTAGTAATTTTCTAACCACCCACCACTTCCACAGTAATGGTGATTTATAAAGTAGGGAAGTAACTTTATAAAATTTATAAAGCAGATTTACAGCAAACCCCTACAACCCACCATGAAAGCTGGAACGCCCACTAGTGGGCGGTAGGGACCAGGTTGACTACCACTATTCTAGATAGTTTGACAGAGTTATGCGAATTAGTTGTTCAGCAGAGTGATGGCATGGGGGAAAAACTGTCCTTGTGTCTAGTTGTTCTGACGTGCAGTGCCCTACAGCCGTGATGGCTAGCCTACGGTACATGTGCAAGGAAGTGGCATGCAGAGCCATCTCTCCGGCTGGTCTTTGCATTTCAGGGGGTGGGGCGAAGGAAGACATAAATAAAATAGTTTCAACCATCTATTTGCGGGAGATTTTGAAGAATGTTTAACTAATTCGAATATAGTTACAACTTTATGGAAATTATTTATTTATGGAGATTGTTACATTTCCTCTAGTTTGTGGTTGATTTTGACTATGCTTGATAGTGAGTGATTGTTCAGATGCTTCTTGTTTCTGTAGGATATGCTGTGCTTTTGTTCCTTCCACAGTTATGCAAAGCCAGAACAAACTATGGCAAACTACAAGGCAAAGGAAGAAAAGGATGTGGTCAAACACTTTAGTGACGTTAACTTCCCTCTCTGAGGAGAAGGGGAAGCCACTCTGTACCTTCTCTCCAGCTACCCCAGCAGCATAATGGAGTATCTTCGATCGCTCTTTGGGAGCCTGCAACAGGCTTTGGTTAGTGGAATCCTGTCATCTCTCAGGCTTGGGAGGGATCCAGAATTTCCGGCTTATGTTAAGTGGGTTTTCTGGCTTCCTGTACTAGAAGTACCTATTCATTGTTTCTTTCTCTTCACCCCATTTTCAGGATTTTGTTTCCTCATTTACTACTTACCTTTTTGGAAATGATCCTCATCCAGGAGCAGAAGAGGTAGGAAATGGAAGGGAGATGAAGGAGTCCAGAAGCCACCATGATTCTGAAGTGGAGACAACATACTCCGGGTAACAAGAATCTCATGTGGAATAATTGTTTCTGTTGGAGTAGAATTATCTCTGACCTGCAATTGGACTTATTTGTCCTTACCCTCCTGCTTTCTTCTGCAGGGATGTTTCTCCAAGGGAGGAATTGAAGGTCACTGAAGGTCCTTTCACAGCGGAGGTAGGTGTTGGTTAAGAGGAGGTGGAGCAAAATCCTTCTGCGCTCCACCTTTTCTTCAACAAAGCCCTTTCTTTTCAGATACCCCTACTCAGTGAGGAGATCCAAGGAACATCAGAAATTGTGGTTACTGGTGATCAGGCAATGGAGTCCTTTCTCAGATCTTCCAATTTTCCCAACAGTTGTGAGGGACAGGAAAAAACTGAACAAAAGTTCTCAGGTGACTGAAACTTCTGGAATGTTGGTGATGCTATATTGTGAGAAATGGGAGATTCTATTGGTTCTGGGTTTTTTTTGCTAATGGATTTTTGTTATTCTTTCTCTATGGACTTTAAAACAGCATAGATGGTAACATTATTAAACTAGCATTTGTCTTTCTGCATGCAAAAAAACTGTCAGACAAAAACATAAAATTTCTGAAAGATACAAAGTGAAGTAATTACACTTCAGTTTTGGTCAACACGATGTAAAAAAGATGTGGAGACTCTAGAAAGTGTGCAGAGAAGAGCAACAAAGATGATTAGGGGACTGGAGGCTAAAACATATGAAGAAAGGTTGTAGGAACTGGATATGTCTAATTTAATGAAAAGAAGGACCAGGGGAGACATGATAGCAGTGTTCCAATATCTCAGAGGTTGCCAAAAAGAAGAAGGAGTCAAACTATTCCCCAAGGCACCTGAGGGTAGAACAAGAAGCAATGGGTGGAAACTAATCAAAGAGAGAAGCAGAACTGAGGAGAAATTTCCTGACAGTTAGAACAATTAATCAGTGGAACAGCTTGCCTCCAGAAGTTGTGAATGCTCCAACACTGGAAGTTTTAAAGAAGAGATTGGATAACCATTTATCTGAAGTGGTGTAGGGTTTCATGCCTAAGCAGGGGGTTGGACTAGAAGACCTCCAAGGTCCCTTCCAACTCTGTTATTCTTTTGTTCTATTCACTTAAAGAAATTGGAAGAGTATACATTTAAAAATATTTGAAAAATTAACATAACTAAAAGGTACTATAATGAAAAGTTGTATTAAAACATCTCTAACATTTTTAAATTATAAGGAGACATGGGCAAAGACGCAGTATTAACAGAAATGGCCAATGTTTTCCTACAATTTTTCTTCAGTGTTTATAAATGTATTCAAAAGTCTGCTGAACTTGAAAGATTGCCCTGCTAATGTGGATTGTAAAACAAGCTTGCACAATTCCCAGAGCTGTATACTTCCTGTCCTTGTCTGTGTGTATGTATAGGAAGTTGTTTTTCAGTTGTGAGTTTTGCACATGATCTGAAATATCTGATTTTATTGACAAATCCCTGTGACCTCTATAAGGGGCTAAATGGTTTTAGACCAGTTTATTATTCTATTTTATCATTACATAATTTAATAGGAATGGAGAATCTAGATTTCATAGTTTTCACTTGTAATCAGTTTCTCATGTTGGTTTTCTCCCATCATTTTTTGAACATTTTCACATACAACCCATTAAAGAGGAAAGGATTAAACAGCACAATGGTGTTTCATCACAGATAACAATAGGATCTGGGAGTATCCTCTTTCTTTAGCATTGCATTTATCTTAATTGACATTTTTCTCAGAGAGGACACCAGAAATGAAGGGTCTCTGTCATCACTACACAAAAACTGGAGATGAATTAGGTTAAGATTAAAAAAAAAATATTTGAGGGAGCCACATGGCTTAGTAAGGTCCAAATTCTTCACCAGTATCATTGATTCGCAAGCTATGTGATTCAGCTTACACTGAAGAATGCTGAAAATTATATATGCATAATTATATTGGCCAATGTATATGTATGTGCATGTATACCACTTTATTACCATGATTTGACTTTAAATGGTCCTCTGTAATTTCAGATTATCTTGTGATTTGACAAAATAAATTGTCAAATTTTTCTTTCTCAGCTCTGAATTTTTTAAAATCAATGTATTAGCTTGCTTGAAAAGGATAAAATAGTTTTTTTTCCATATATAGCAAGAAAAACATGTGAGAAAGGTGATTTCTATCCTTGGTTGTTCTCTATGGTATGTTCTTCGGCTCTTCTTGAGTTGGCTTTTGACTTCCATAATTTCCAACTAACAGGCTTTTTATTAAACTAGCTGTAAATTGTGTTAAAAGCTAACACACTTGGTTGGGAAGGCTAATATGAAGCAATTATCCTGTTTTTAAAATGTCCAGAGATAGAAGAACATTTATTCTATATTCTGCTTAATTAGGACAGTATTAATTGGCCATACTGAATCAGAATATTGAAACTACTTGTATGGGTAAAAGGAGCAGAGCCCCAGTCGCAGAAAACTGCTTTAAATTCTTAGATGATCAGTCTTGGGGGGGAAACCTAAGATCAATTATATTCTTTCTTACTTTTGTCCCACAGTGTCTTCTGTATGCCTCAGTGATACCCCTGAACTAGAATCAACAACACCTATGACTGACAGCATCGAACAGTCCCCCTTAGAGGCACCAAGCATGACTGGGAGATTCTATCAAAGAAAATCTGAAGAATCTGCTTTGGTGGAAGTTGCATGGGAAGACATGACAGAAGAGTTGGAAGATGCTATTTGTAGTCAATATTGTAGTCAATTGAACCCAGATGAACTTTTGGCAGAAAGAAGAGAACTTGGGCAAATGGAAGAGGCAAGAAAGACAGAGATGAGTCAGGAAGCAGAACAAGACAGAAATGTATTAGCTGAAGAGATTGAGCAAGAAGCACTAAATTGGGCAGCATCTATAGAACAAAAAAGAGGGCTTGAAGGGACAGGGTGGACCGAGGAGATGGTTCAAGGTAGTATGGAAGAGACGGTTGAGATGGATAATCAACAATTGGAGGTTGGGAAAGAGCAGGAAGAAGAAAATGTGGGTGAGAAAGTGCAGGGAGAGATAAATACAGCAACACTAAACCAGGCAGAGGATAAGGTGCTTGAAGAGGAAAGAACGGTTGGAGAAAGCCATCTGTGGGATGAAGAAGCAGAAAAAATCACAGATGATCAGGAGAAAGAGTTGGGAAATATGTTGTGGAATAAGGGAATTCAGCAAAAGCTCCTAGATTTAACACAGCATAGAGAGGAAAAGCAGAGAGGACAAGAAGATGCAACATGGAGTAGGGGGACTCAGCAAGGTAGACCGGAGGAGATGGCTAAGATGGCAAGAGACCAGCAGTTAAATGTTGAGAAGGAACAGGAAGAAGATACAAGAGTGGATGGGAACGAACAGGTAAAACCAAGTGTGACAGCAGAAATTGAAGGAGACCAGGTGAAGATGCTAGAAGAGAAAAGGAAAGGTGAGAGAAGCTGTAATTTGGAAGAATGTTTAGGAGGAACTGAAGAGGGGAAGGAGAGAAAGCTGGATGAAGATGAAAAAGAACTAGAGAGAATCACTTGGACAAATAAACTTCAGTATGATGCACTAAATGTTACAATAGTGAAGACCCAGGATTTAGAATCTGGGGAGGAACAGAGAGAAGGCATAAAGCTGGACACAGACCACCAGATAATGAAAGAAGTAGTAACAAAGAACGAAGAAGTTCAGCAACCACTATTGCACAAGGCAGAGATGGAAACAAGCCAGAAGAAGGCATTAGAAGGGGAAGCAAAGGAGAGAGATTTATACTGGGAGCCCAAAGAAACTGAGATTATGATAGAGCAGGAAAGCGGGGCACCAGAATTGGAAAAGGGAGGAAATTGTAAGCAGGGAGATTTATCTGAGAAAGAGGAAAGAGGACTAGAGGGAGTCACTTGGACAGATAAATTTCAGTATGATGCACTAAATGTTGCAATAGTGAAGACCCAGGGTTTAGAATCTGGGGAGGAACAGGGAGAAGGAATAGAGCTGGATGCAGACCACCAGATAATGAAGGAAATAGTAACAAAGAATGAAGAAGTTCAGCAACCACTACTGGACAAGGCAGAGATGGAAACAAGCCAGAAGAAGGCATTAGAAGGGGAAGAAAAGGAGAGATATTTATACTGGGAGCCCAAAGAAACTGATATTATGATAGAGCAGGAAAAGGAGGAACCAGAATTGGAAAAGGGAGGAAATTGTAAGCAGGGAGATTTACCTGAGAAAGCAAAGACAGAAGAAAATCTGAATCAGGAAGTAGAAGAATCTGTGAAAAATGAGATACTTGTTACAGTGGGAAAACAGGAACAGCAAATAAAAGAAGAATGGTGGGAAAGTAACCAGGAAGAACAGCCCGAGTTATTGGTAGACACTTGTGGTCTTAGTGTAGACATGCTGGAAGTGGCAGAGACTACATCAGACCAGTCGAATCAACTGGGAGAGACCACAAAAAACCTGGTGTATCCAACTTCTCTTGATACAGATCTCCTGGCTGGACCCAGAACTTTCCCACATGATGTAAGCATAATTACAAAGCAAAGTGGAGCATGAACATAGTCAGGAGATTGAAGTAATCATATCCATCTCTATTCTGCAGGTCACAACACTGGATAGCAGTGCCCAGAAGGAACGGGTGTTGCTACGTCGTAAGAGCTCCATTCGACGAGCACCCAGCTTGAAGAAACCAAAGATATCAACAGAGGCTCCAACAGAAGAGATAAAGATGGCTGAAGATGCTCCATCTTTATTGGAAGTACCAAAGAGACAAAACCCAAGATTGTCTGGGTAAATCTCACCACCGCATCCACTAGTAATTGAATAGGAGATGTTAGTTTTGTCATCTTGAATTTTGTCTTAATCTACCCATTTATTTTGCTTTTCTAGGTTTGGGCCTATGCACCCCAATATGATGGCTGAACTTCAGATGCGCCTGCAAAAGCCAAAGTGACTTGAGGTTTCAAGAGCTTTATCAAGTAATGAACTTGCATGTTTTTGGCTCTGTCATGGATCAAAGCACCCTAACCAGTAATTTTGAAAGCAATGGAGGCACCATCTCTATGTTCTCTAAAAACTGAATAAATTAGACATCCATTCTAAATTAAATAGTTAGTGAGGAAACATTGTGTACCTTATGAATGGAAAATCTGAGAAGTATTGTGAGAATATCTCAGCAGATCTGATATCTTTATCTCTTCACCTGAAATGAGGAACTCCAGTATAGCTTTCATTCTATTCATACCATACTTTGGAAAAACAAAGTAATTAGGTGGAAACGACCTAACAATTTTGGAAGGTTATCTTTACATTCCATTATATGGTATGGAGTCTATCCCCAACATGCAATCAATTTAAACTCAATCTATATTTTACAAGAATTCAGTGAAACTGAAACATGTCTGAAGAGATTACTGTGTGCTGATTAATGATAAGGACTGAGCTATTATGATAGTATGTGGGAAAGAGTTTGGAATACTAGACCAAGAGATACTGCTAAGGGAGCAATCAGATAAGAGACATTAGAGCCCTCATCTGGATAGTAGGCAGGGCAAGGGGCTCAAAAGGGTCCGTCCCTAGTTTCTTGGGCTATAAAGGAAACAGGAGAGATGCAATTTCAAATGTATAAGATTCTGTCAATGTAGCTTTACAATGAAGTATAATTAGCTCATATGGTTGTGATTCCTATCTGGTTTACCCCGTGAGGCCAACAGCTACAGTTTCAGAGGAGAACTGGCAGCAGATAGCATATAGTGTATTTAATCTTTAACTCGTCTGTCAGAGTTTTCCCATGTTGCCCCTCCCATCACAGTCTTTCTCCCTACCCAGATTAGGATTTAGGCAGAAGATTGAAAAGATAACCAATATCTGATTGATCTGTATTTTTACTTCCAGAAGAACATAGAGATGCTTGTAGGATTTTCTTCCAGCAAGTTTTCACCCAAATAACTTGGCCTAAGCTTGAATGTAATGCACTTTTGTGGAAAAGGCTTCACTTGATATAACTACTTATTTTTGTTGGTCTTGCAATCATTTATTTCTCAAGTGTGAAAAGGCTGTTCTCAGGCCAATGGCTACAGGACCACTTTCCTGGACCCAGTCGAAGACATTTTTACCTGTTCAAGCTTGGGAATGATGGTTTTATTTTTACTGTACTTATTTTATTCAACTTTAATTGCTACTTTTCATTTTGTTTTTTCACCCATAGTATTTTTACTTTTAATTGGTTTAAGAATAAGATGAAATTCTTAATATTTAAGTTTAATTGTTTTGTTATCTTTTATTGTATTATTGCAACATAGTGAATGTAAATACCATAATGTATTATTAGTGCAATAAAATAAAAGGTTGCTAGCTTTGGCAGTCAACTGCCCTTGAACTTTTAAATAAATCAGTAAAATGCAGTTGTCAAACCATTTGCACGAAACCTTATCAGTAATTCCTCACAGGGAAATAATGAATGAGTGTTTTGTCATTTGCAAGTAAGCATTAGACAAATGAACCCTGGGTGGGTGGGGGGAATCTGCTGGATCCCTTTGAGGTCTTCAAATTTCTTACTCATACTTGATGGAGCCCAAAGGAATATTGTACTTAACTGTTCCAAAGTTAGATTTGGTTTTCCCTCTTAAGTGGGCAATAGCCCATGGTAGTTTTCAGATGAATGCTATCATTCATCCATCCATTCTGGTGTGGTGGTGATTTTGGAGGTGGGGTCAGTTTGCCATCTATTGGCCACTTCAGGCTGGTGAAGGCAGTCCCTTTATCCTGAGAGCCGAGGTGGCGCAGTGGTTAAATGCAGCACTGCAGGCTACTTCAG